AGTTAAGCTAATGACTGTCTTTTGACATTAGTTAAGCTGATAGCTGTCCTTTGACTTTGCATAATCTACTCTCATGAACAAAATAGTAACTTGTATTGGAACTTTAACGGTACTGTGGTGAAGGGGAGCACAAACAATTGTGAACAAAACCTCACACTTGTAAAAATCAAAATAAGAGCACAAAAAACGTGTCACTGAAATATGGGCCCGATTCTCACCTCGTCAGCAAATTTTTCAAATTCCTTCTGTTGTTGCAGGTAAAAAGAGACAAGATGTGGTTAAGTTCAACCAAAAAACTTTCATTTCAGCCATGCATATCAATGATCTTAGGAGTAAAATGCATTTCTCCAGAAATGTGATTGGCTAAAACAATTGTTAAAACAAGTGGTAATGAAGCACATATACAATTGCCAATAAATCATAATTCTTAATGACAAAATTTCACACTAGGGGTAATATTGAAAACCAAACAGACGTTTTTCTTTTTCTTGTACATGCTGGCAAATTCACTTTTCATTTTCGGCAAAAAGAAAAACATGCAAATTTATTCTTAAAGTGAAAAAAGAATAAAAGACATTCTGTGCAACAAACCTCAAACCAGATAGCTTCCTCCTTTGAAATACAAAGAAGATTGCTGATTGGTCAATAAGTTGAAAAACTATCCAATCAGAATTGCAATTTAGCTGATCACATGACAATAAAATCAACCAATCATATTACAATTCAATGATCTCCTAATTTTAGCTGAAAATGAAAGTTCTTTAGACTGTTTGACAACTTACCTCAAGATTAAAGTCCTCCTCAACAGGAGTAAGAATGTACATTTCAGACTACAAGGTCCAATTGACAGGCAAACAAAAAACAGAGTTTTTGACATTTGGAAGTGAAGTTTTCATGTGGTAGAGCTCAGGCAAGATGTTTGTACTGTAAAACACTCAATTCACTACATATTATTGAAACAAAATTGTCCAAAATAGCACAAGCTTCCTTTTATGACTTAAAGTCATAACAAATCAACTAATTTGTGATAATTTCAAGTAACCAGAATAGAATGAATATTTTCACTTGAATAAAATTTAATATAAATATTGGAATCTTGGAGATAAGATAAATCATAATACCATGGCAGACGTGAATTTATTATTTTGTCTGCCGCAACAACCCAACCATCTTGCCTGAAATTCATATAAATACAAGAAAAAAAATGATAAATTCCAAACCTGCATGCAGCACGTGTTCTTCTAGATTCTACGCAGAAACCGTGGTCGTCAGTAATATCACAGTGATTCAATGGGTTTTTTTTAAAAAGTTAATCACCATTCCAAAGAAGTGAATTTAACTATAAATATTTTAACAACCGAATTTGAAAAGTTGTGGTAAAGTAGAATATACAGTAGATGAGAATAAATACAACTTCATTACTGGACAGGTTCTGCATTGCATAAACTGTGACATTACTGGAGACAATAAACAGAATGCAACAAACAAACATGCACAGAACATTACAAGACAAAACAAGTTAGTTTCTACAATACTGCTAATACATTAATTATTCACTGGGTTTTATTTTGTTAAAAATTAGTAAAATACGCTAAATTAAAAGCATGTCAACAGGTAAAATAATATAATGCATTGTTTCTTTGGCAAATTTATGAATTCAAAACTCAGTGAATATACTCAAATTATCAAAATAGTGAAAATAAATGGTTCTACAGTAATCTATAGTGAGGCATCAAATGTATAATATTAGTAGCAATGAGGAACAATCAGTCGCTACAACTATAGACGAGCAATTGCAAATAATTTATCTTGAATTTGAGTTTGTTCCACTGACTAAAACCAAAATAATTTTGCTACATACATGCTTGAAAAATAAACTGCAATTTTCATTCAATGAATTTTACTGGGAGTGGGTAAAAGACTAGTTCATACCGGCGTTAAAGGTTTTCTGGTTTCCTGAGTTACATGGAAAATGAATAAAGACAAATATCTGAACTCAATTATATCGATACAGACGAATTAAATCAATAAATATACACATTTTAATATGATTTCAGACGGGAAGATTTAAGGTTTGAGATACAATTTTTGGTAATTACAGCAGGATGGGATTATACTCGGGTGGGGGGGGGGGTGAATATGTGCACACGAATAAGTACCTGTTCAAAAATTTCCCGCTATGAATAATGGGAAAAGTTACAAAGAATAAGTAGGTTAGTCATAGTTATAGTTAGTAAATAATTCCAAGATATTTTATGACACATTTGTTAATACCAATTAACAGCTAGAGTAACCCTTTCACCACTGTTGTCATGGCTGCCATTGTCATGGCTGCCGTTGTCATGGCTGCCATTGTCATGGCTGCCGTTGTCATGGCTGCCGTTGTCATGGCTGCAGTTGATCAAATTCCATAAATAATATTATGGCATGATTATATAAACCAAGATTGTGCAGACATTTGAATCATGGCTGATAGAGACAGGCTAGTTTCATCAATATGATTCAAAATTAGAAAATAAATAAGTAAAGAAATTATGAAATTTGATTTTTAAATATTATAGAAAAGTCTTCAGCACTGAAAGGGTTACTTGTACTTTATATATATATAAGGAGGTTAAGACTACATCATAAACTTGTAGAGAAGAGTTTGTTACGAATACATCAATTTACTGTTATATGTAATATACCGTATATGCTTTATTTGGTAAAAACACACTGAGGTACGTCTATGATGGTCAAAAATAAGTCAAATTTTAGTGATTGAGCATACAATAATTGTATTTTTTTTTATGTGTGCTTTTTAAATGCACTTCAATAAAGCAAATACAGTCACTATAGAATTGAAAATAAAGATCACATAACAAATCTTTTCAAAGACGCAAAATTCTACATGTCATATCATGTGACTTTATGACTCGCCATTTATTTGTATCTGTCTGATATCAGTGATTAAGAAAATACTGCAATATGACATCATTCGTAACCAACACAAACATGGATACAGTTGATTTTCTATTTTAGTATAGGGGGGAGACACAAATTTATAATATGTCCATTTCAAAAATATCTACCATGCAACTACAATGTTAGTAAGACACTCAAACATTTACTTAAAACAGACATAGTACTACTAGTTTCAGAGAAGGTCAGATAAGTAATTATTTAACACACTATTAATAAAGAGGTATAAATATGAAAATGATACACCTGTATAACTAGCATATTTGAAAAAGCTCCCCTAACTGTTTGATAAATCTTGAGAAACTTTTATGAAACTATCATTAATTTTGTAAACATTGTTGCAATGAATGATTTATTAATATTCAGAAACAATGCAATTATGAATAAATCGAGCAACTTCTTGAGCAAGATTTTGAAACTAGCTAACATGAGAGTGGACTGTCTGAACATTGCATATGGAGGTGACAGCAGCAAATACAAGAAGCGACAATACACATACACACTAGAATGCAACTGAGGAGGGTGAAAACAAGTACATCAACAAATGGCCAAGGGAGGGTCTGAAATAACCACAAAATTCAGACAGCCCACGCAAAAATACAAAAGTCCCTTGACAACAAACTCAACCCCTACCTCTCCCTTTTCCATAGTCTCCTATAGAAGCAATCGCAGACAAAGAAATAAAATTTGCATATCAGACATCCATTCACAAACAAAACAAACATATATATTCAGCCGCCTGACGAGAATTGGGAGGCAGCATGGAAATGATGTTTATTATTTTGGATTACTATGATGAGGAACACTAAGCACTGTTAACCGAGGACAACAACCTCCATGTAACCATGACAACAATCACAACCTATCACAGCACACATAGGAAATGACAGGACGGGATAGGAAAGCATGATCAAGAGCAGAATACTGTAAGGAAGGATATGTTGATTGCATGCGGTTGGATTGAACGCATTCAGTGAGCAGAGCCAAAGCTGGATGAAATCAACGCTGCTGCTGCTACTACTACTACGGGCAGTATATAACATGCTCAGTCCATTATACATGATCAAAACACACTAACTGCCAATTACAATATACTACTGTGTGCATGTGATTAATATTTGTGTATAAGCTAATAATGCCTAGGTACATACATAACATAATGCCCAGGTGCATATCAGATATATTGCTATTGTTTGCGTAGTTTACTAGCATAAATTTTTAACAGTAACATTATAATGCACAGAAAAAAAGTGCTGAATTCTAAAGCGACAATATTCATATGTATTTTAAACATTTTCTCCATAAGTATACGTACTGGTCTAGTCATTGTAAAAACATTGTTTTGATTGTTCACAAAATAGTATTCATTTAAATGCACATGCACTTTGAATTTTTGGTACGTACCATTAATTTGCATAATTATAATGTATATTATTTTAAGCTTGACAACAATGTTTTTTGTTAAAAATGACCCATAACCCGATGTACATATCAATATTAGAGAAAACTATGAAACAAACACAAATTTATTCATATTGTTACTTTTAGTAGTGCATAATCTATCAAAGTAACCAACACCTTATGTAGTACAGAATTTCAGGCAAGACCAATTTTCAAAGTCATGTTAAGTATAACAATTTTCCATGGAAACAAACAATCTCAAGTTTTGTCTGATTGATCCAAATTAACATAGAAATCAAAGTAATATCAGAAAATGACAAAAATGCTTAGAAATTTTAGTGAGGTCAAACCTGACAGGAAAAGTGTCAAACATTTAAATATGTCTGTCAGACAAAAACTTCTACAATAGAGTTGCCAACATTAAATTGAGTTTATTTATGGTCTTTTCGTTCTTAAGTAAGGATAATAAATTCAATTTCAAAATAAAATCAATAACTGAATATAGATTAATCAGTAATCGTCTACATGCATGCATGCAAGATTTAATAGTGAAGTATATAGCATATATAAGGCATTGATTTCTTTGTCGCAACTAGCCCAGTAATACATGATGCAGTGTGTGTCGATTCAAGGTGCATTTTTTGAAAAATATCCTTGGATAAAAAAATTCAGATTTGAAAACTCAAACGAATTTTTTAAAAAATTCAATCTAAATGAATGATGGAAATTCACCATCAAATCCCACAATGCACCTGAATAAACAGGAAGTGACATCATTATTGGATAAGGCACTAGATCAAAGCTTTAATTTACCTCATCCTCACTACTTGTTGTGTCATCTTCTTTTTTGACCTTTTCCATGAATTGATAAGTGGTGAGAAGAGAGAAGTCAGTTTCACTGTTAGGCCTGCCTACCACACAGTAATACTACATTCAAAATGCAAGGAAGCAACGAGAGCCCAGCAGTTTAAAAAGAAAAGAAAAGCAAAGCAAGAAGTCTAAGGTGCAGAAAATCAAAAACACAAAGACTCAGCAACAAAAAAATGTTTCTGGTGGGTTTTTTTGGTGAATGTATATTTTTTTATGCTGGTAATTGTACCAATTTGCGTTGGTGTAATCGAAATAAAAATACAGCTGTTGTAATTCTATTTGAATTACAATACAAATTTTTTTTTTTTGATTGTTTTGATCACATTTGATTGTTGCAATCACAAGAACACCAGAAACACAAACTTTTTGTTGTTGTGCCTCATAATTAAGAAATGAACTTAAATGCAAACAAGGCTTGATTCCATTGTATCGTCAAGTTTCAATAGTTGTGCTTGGCTCATCACCGTGCTGGCTTGGCCGCCGTGCTTGGCTCATCACCGTGCTGGCTTGGCCGCTGTGCGTAGCATAGCTTAAGAAGCAAGAGTCAGATTGGACAGATAAGTTGTATATAGAGAAACTGAATTAAAGGGTCACAGAATATTCATAAATTTCTTCACAAGATACATTGGAGTCCTTCAAGCAATTAAAACAAATAAGCTTCTATTGCTGAACTAAAAAAAACAACACTATTAATACAATTGTTTCAAAATGCAGGGACATTGTAAACAAGACAACAAACATCACATAAAATGCAAAGTGAAGCACATCTATGATAAGAAACATGATATTCATCCACAAAATGTCATCTTTGAAATGCCATGTAACGAAACTATGCATAAAGGAACCTGAAGCTTCATCTGAAAGTCAGTAACAAACATTCATGAGACGTACACCTTTAAAAATACACAAATAATTAATTAACTCGCACTGGAAGAAAAGTCAGTAGTGACAAATGGTTTACCTTACCTTAACATACTCAGGAATAGTTATATTCAAATTGCAGATGGCTTTCTGCGGAGGTAATCCACGGCCAACTTTTGGCTCCCGCATAAACGATAGTCTACCACAAGGCTCCTGTCCCTGGTCGCGCACACGGGTGAAGAATGGCAGGCGGTTTTCATGGAAGGCGTGGAAATTGAGATGAAGCTGTTCTCCAGATTTTTGTACTGGCACTAAATTACCAGCAAGTTCTAGGTATTGTGGTCGGCCATCTAAAACCTTGAGGGTATAGGAAAGCATAGGTGAAAACAGTGTCCTCAAATGTATATATGTACATGAATTAATAATGATAAATTAATTACACTGAAGGCTTCTAAAGAATGGCAAATTTTAAAAAAATATTCAAAGAAATAACAAAATGAGCCAAGCGAAAAAAATTCTAGTTAGAGATAAAAATTATTTAACCCACCATAAGAGATGTCAATACGTCAAAAGTTTGATTGAATGATTGATGAAAAGTTTCAATAAACTATCATAAATAAAATAAAATAAACTAAACTATCATCATGACGTGACTTTAAGTTGATCTAGGCATTCTGAGAAATGACATTGAACGGGCGTACACGCACACACCAACATTCAAGTCCCCATTTCAGACAAAACTTTGAAAGGAATAATCGGCAATGTCATTTTAGGAAGAATGAATCTTGTTAAAACGAACGTACAGAAATTAAAAGTCTTACCTCCACATCCCTACTACGAGCTATTTCAGTGAAATGTTCTTGACTTTCTAATGTTTTATCCATCTTATCATCAGTCATACAGAACACTCGAATTCGGGCTTCAATCGGGTCATGTGTCTTTCCGAACACGACAAATTTTGCCATGAACGGCACCGCTGTCACTTCATGATATAGCTCTCTAGCAAAGTTACTGGCTTGATTTATCTCTCGACAATCCATGAGCCAAAACCTGAAGCAGAATTACAAGAAACTAAGTTATAAAACTATCGTAAAGTATTACATGCATTTGTGAGAAAGACCATATAATATATAGCGCCCTCTTTGAGTAGAATACGTTTATCATTAAGTCTGAATCATAAATTTTATGATTTCCTTTTTTTTTCATATTCAAATACTTTTATGTAATAATCTATGAATATCCGTAAGTGTGTGCCTTTATAATTTTCAGGTAAATTATTTTCCACCAAAAATGTAGCACAAATATTTGCCACTACATATTTTCATACTCCAATGACATAGCATGATTCTACAGAAAGATTTATTTCACCAAGTCCAACAAGAAACCATTTTGCTTGTACTACGAGATCCTGCAATTGATGTGAAATCAAATGTAAAAAAAACAGGACAAACAAGCGTCATAGCATCGGTGTGACGTCAAAAACGTCACATGGGATTTGACAAATGCGAAAGTATTTTAGGAGATAATAATAATGTGCTAAAGTAAAGATAATTTAACACAATATTATACCCCACTCAAAAATCAGAATTTTGACATTACGCTATAAAAACCTAATTCAAAATCAAATCATTAGATTTTTGCAGCACTCGCACAGTGTACGGGACATCACCCATTGCCACGGATGTTCAGCATCTTTAGATGAATTTGAATGATTTTAATGTGACAACTATGCTATTTAATATTACAATGTCAGTGTTATTTGTCAAAAGTGAACACATGATCACAATCATGTTCACTATTAATTTTTACATCTCCTTGCACAATTCTTGCCACAGTCTTAATTCTCCGTTTTGCTATGACACAGGTTGTTGACGATAAAAAGGTGAACAACATTTTTCGATGTGTAATTTTCATCTAACATCATTTGGGTTCTGGCAGTTATCTTTAATACTTACTGTTCTTATCCTTGGATTGTGTTGATACCAAGAATTACTATTATTTTCCTTGGCCTTCAGCTTCAGGTCAATAACAGTCACTTGATGGGCAATAATTGTTTATAATGCCCTCAGGTGAGGTCATTAACAGTTTTAATATTCAAGTGCATCTGATAAAGTTAATGCGGTATAAAGTTTGATACAATACATACCTTGCAGATACTGTGGTGGTAAATGACACACACTCATTGACAAAAGTAAGAGGTGTTGTGCCAGTAATGTCTTCCCATTGTGCGGGTTGAGTGCCACCTAATAAAAAATACATTGAAACATATTTACTCATGCTACTCGTGGTAATTTTAGGATAGTGTACAAATCAATATGACCACCACTGTCTGTATTAGATTATGCATCACAGTTGCCATGCAACAATTAATCGTTGAGTTGTATATATTAAATGGAATGACATTGAACATGACATTGCGAAAAACTGGCACATTTCAGCTACATTAATGAAACAAATGAATTGCATCAAATTGGATAATATTCATATTTTAATTGCTCACCTGTAATACTGCACAAAAGTCTAAGAGTTGGCGTATCACCACCATAACCATTCATAACACCTTGCGTCGTTGCTGATGGAACAGGAATTGTTACTGTAATAGCTTTATGGAATTTCCTTCTCCTGGGTTCTATTGTCACTATGGGACTCACCATTACACGGTTACCAAGGACTTTCTTGATGATGTCTACTGGAATTGGTTGGGCCTATAAATGAGAATATTGAAGACACCATTAGAAGTTATGCATCGTGCTCACATCTCTCATGTGACTGGCCAGTGTGCACCATGTGACTGGCCAGTGTGCACCATGTGACTGGCCAGTGTGCACCATGTGACTGGCCAGTGTGCACCATGTGACTGGCCAGTGTGCACCATGTGACTGGCCAGTGTGCACCATGTGACTGGCCAGTGTGTACCCTGTGACTGGCCAGTGTGTACCCTGTGACTGGCCAGTGTGTACCCTGTGACTGGCCAGTGTGTACCCTGTGACTGGCTAGTGTGTACCCTGTGACTGGCTAGTGTGTACCCTGTGACTGGCTAGTGTGTACCCTGTGACTGGCTAGTGTGTACCCTGTGACTGGCTAGTGTGTACCCTGTGACTGGCTAGTGTGTACCATGTGACTGGCTAGTGTGTACCATGTGACTGGCTAGTATGTACCATGTGACTGGCTAGTATGTACCATGTGACTGGCTAGTATGTACCATGTGACTGGCTAGTGTGTACCATGTGACTGGCTAGTTTGTACCATGTGACTGGCTAGTTTGTACCATGTGACTGGCTAGTGTGTACCATGTGACTGGCTAGTATGTACCATGTGACTGACTAGTGTGCACCATGTGACTGACTAGTGTGCACCATGTGACTGGTTAGTTTGTACCATGTGACTGGCTAGTTTGTACCATGTGACTGGCTAGTGTGTACCATGTGACTGGCTAGTATGTAACATGTGATTTACTTACCTGGAGACCAACTTTGATTTTCTTAGTTAGAGTACCTTCAGGGAACACTGCTTGTACTTGTGGAACAACTGTTGAACTTAACATTCCCCCTGATGGTCCAATTGTATTCGTTTCTTGACGTACTCGTGAGATAATAGCAAAGTATTGTGGGAAATCTCGGGTAACTATTCTACAAATTCGTTTTTCAACTAAATCTTCCAATGATTCAATTTCTGGAAATCAATAAAAATGTGATTACAATTGCTGGACTATAGACTAGGCAATGATTAAATTATATATATATGCCAAATCTGGAAAGGCAATATTGGTTTAATGAATATGGTCATATAAGACACTGCAAGAAAACATAGCATGTTCAGAGAAGGACTACTGTAATCATTCTTGCTCATGGCATGATGAGAGACTAAGAGTTCAAAATACAGACGTTGTTAATGTTTTGCACAGAAATAACTAGCATTATGGCAACAGAATGTTTAACTCAGTCGTCTGGAAAATTAGTGACAGATCTGAAACATGACAGCAATAATTTTTTAAAAATCAAGGAATATTTTAGTTAAAATTCCAGTGGAAATAGAAAATAGTTTTGCATGGACATATTTGTCTCTTACAATATATAAACGAAAACAATGCAATTGATAATTAACAAAAATGAATGGTTTGAGATTTGATGTTCTATCGAGATTACACAAGATGGTCTTAAACAAGTCTCTAGTGTGGAAAGTTCCTTCTAGCGTTGAAAGCTCTCTCAAGCATGGAAAGCTCCCTCAAGCATGGAAAGCTCCCTCAAGCATGGAAAGCTCTCTTTAACGTTGAAAGCTTCCTCAAGCATTCAAAGCGCTTACCTTCTCCGTCAAGTGTACCATTAAGCGTTTCATGTACTAACTCATCTGAAGATTCCAATGTGTGTTCTTTCCATGATTCGCCGTTGTCACTACGTAATACAACAATTTCTCTCTCTTTTTCACGCAGCGAACCAAAATGTGGTATCTCGATAATCACAGGACTGAAAGCGTATAGAATTTAAAAAAATAAATAAAAATAGTTATAAAAACTGGAATTTTTTATGATAAAAAACATAAATATCAAACAGAACCATAATTTATTTAGTAAACAAAGGCATTTTTAGAAGTGCTAAGTTGGAAGAACACACACCAATGTGGGATTTGTGTTTTAATAAATTTCTGTAATTTCTGATTTATCAATTTTATTTATCAAACCTGTCTGGCCAGATATTTGGAGATGAAAATAACTAAATTTTTCAAATCTTTTTATTTCCCTGCCAGAATTTATAATAATTTCTGTTTTTTTATTCAAATATTGATATAATAAAGATACCTGAATGACTACTTAGGAATGTTGATGAAGGTTGTAGTCAAGGGTGAACGGAGATGAAATTTGAGGTCAAAGGTGAACAGATGAAATTTGAGGTCAAAGGTGAACGGAGATGAAATTTGAGGTCAAAGGTGAACAGAGATGAAATTTGAGGTAGAGGGTTAACGGGGATGAAAATTGAGGTCAAAGGTCAATGTTGACAAGTGGAGGGGTCAAAACATGCACAGCTGAGATGTTTATTATACACTGACTGGAACATGTACATAAATCAATTTTCATTTAAACTAGAATAAAACTATGTTCAGACATAAAACTAGAATAAACCAATTTTTAAAACTAGAATAAACCAATGATGCTAACCTCCAAATTTTATACAATGTTTAAATTCACCCATACAAAAAAATAAACATAAAAACTTAAGGTATTTTAAAAATCACAAAATGAAATACAAAACCAACAGTTTCACAACTGCCACTGGAATGGGCCAGTAATAATATAGGTCAAACCATTCACAGATAGGGGTGAAAGCGTTGAAGCAAAACAACTATAAACATGCATGACATGCAACACATAACATTGAAAGTCAACGTCACTTCAGTCGAGGTGCAATATGCGTTTTATTTTAAATGAACAATCAATACATGTTCCATGCATTGTGTATACACTGCATGTGACTTGTATCAAACACAGAGTGGCACAACGACTGTAACGATTTAATAAACATCATAAACACTGTCTCGAATAATGAACTGAAAATCAACAACAATTGCGTACACACCACATGACAGGACTACCCAAACGTGCAGGAGAGTTAAAACACTACTTTAAGAAGGTAAGGAGGAAAAAAGCACTATCAAAGTGGTAAATGTAACAACTGTAGATACGAATTGTTGACACTACATACCCCAAGAATTTTTCTTGTGCTGGGCCGAGTTCAACAATACGGCTCACAAGTGCCTCCCCCTCATTGAGGGGAGGGTGGTAGTAGACTTTGTTGCCTAAACCCCTATTGGCAGTCAAGTTCGCGGATTGATAGACAGGATGAAGGATGAATTAATTGTAAATGTTAAAGAGAAACAAGAGATGAAACAAGACGATGCATTCATTTATCACAGGCAACTCAAAAAGTTAAATTTAATCTGGTACATACATTCAGAAAGATAGTATATCATTACCATGGTTACCATGATTTAAAGAGCATTCATTGTTGATAAAGGATAGTTATAGTTAGATGGTTAATAATGATGTGGCTCACAATAATAGCCATGGTAACAAAGACTGCAAATAAAACGAATCACTGGAGACAGCAATGGCGAAAAATTCAAGAATTCAACAAGCACCACAGAGTAGGAAACAGATTTATTACTTTTGTGTGGGATAACAAAAACTACCAGTACAGGATTAAATTGTGGGGGTG